ACTATCTCTCACTAGGATTAGTTGTTTGATCTTCAGCTAAAGGAATAGTATTTTGAGTTGGTTCAAATTTGTTCACCTCGCAAACTGTGGGTTAGTCTGTTACAGAAGCGTAAATGTAGTACTGGGTCTGGAAGATTTCCATGTGTGTGTTACTGAAGGCATTGTTGCTGTGATTTTTGACCTCGTAAGCTGATAAATCCATCCTGGAGGATAAGCAAGGAACATGGTTGTAGGTAATATCTCAGGAAATAGGTATTCATTAAGTTGAGAGAAATGATAAAAGATACTAAATTGGAAATTGTTTCAGATTTGAAAAGGTACGTATTTAGTTTGGTAATCTTGATCAAATTAACCTATATTCATAAATTTAGTTTTCTTGAGCAAGATTTGATGACATGCCCATATATCTGAATCATAAAATGACTGTCATCCACTTGATATTTCTCAGGGACTACTACATTTAAGCTGGCAGTTTTTGACACATTTGTTTTTATTCTCTGGCACTTTGCACTTGTTTTCTTGTGGCAGTTCATTTGGATTTGTTTTCATTCGTGTTTTTAATTTTTAATTGTGTATTAATCACTTCATTTTTACAAGGGTTTTTTCATAGAATAAAATGAGAAATGTATCATTTATGCTTTGTTCCATTGTATTTGAAACAGCCAACCTTTAGAAGTCAAAAAAAGGACGGGAAGAGGAATTGACTGGACTTCCAACTTAAGTGCTGCTGCACCTTGTTGATAGGCACAGAATGTTTGCAAAGGGAAATACTTCCTAGATATCGTTAAATGTTTAAATGAATTGGTGAAGTAATCCATTGGGAATGTTTATTTCTTCACGGGTTTGTCTGTCAGGTGACTAACTTGTACAGGCTTGGTAATATTTCAGCACAAACTTGGTTTATACATCTGAAACTGGGAGGTTTATTACAAGCTAGAGACTGAATCCAATGGCTACAGTGAAGAACGTATTGGTAGTTGCAGATAGTCTTCAGCTATCACTGAATTTGCAGCAGACTTCGGAGGAACAGGGCCTGACAGATCTTAATAATGGAAGTGAACAGCAATTGATTGGGTATGTCGGCACTTGAATGTTCGTATTGTATTATAACATTAAAGTTAATGGCCTGGAGTTTCAGCTCGGAGCGTGGGTTTTCTCAGTGCAACCAACTTAAATCATGGAAATTTCAGCATATACCCACAAAACTATCTCCACCCTTCATTGGCAGTTTCCACTAATTATATTTGTGGGCGTTATAAAAGCCTGCAAAATTGAACTAGTTCTTTAGATTACATTTTTACTGCTAACAATACAGTATTCAAAAAGTTTTAATATAAATTTTAAAAATCTACCAAAACCACCTAAACTCCAGTGTAACTAGGAAATTTTTTTTTGTTTTGTCTGTTTGTTGGTGGCATGTTCACTTCTGTACCACAAGGTTTGTGTTCTCCAGTCTTGCTTTTGGGATTTGAGCACAAACTTCAAGGTTGACAGCTGTATTGAGGTGGAGTGTTGCAGTATTACAAGTGTTGTCTTTTGGATAAAATGATAAACTCTGAAGTATATAAAAGAGATGTAGGCCATTTGGCTTCTCACTCAGATCCCATCTACTTGATAGAGTGGATGTAAAAGATCCCATGGTGCTGTTTTGATGAAGAAATAGGACTTCTCCAGTTGTGTCCTCACTGACATTGACCTCTCACTCAGCATAAAAACAAATTACCTGGTCATGATCACATTGCTATTTGTGAGAATTTGTTTCAGACAGAATTGACTGAATTTCCTCTGTCGCAACACTGCCTACACATCAAAAGTACTTCATTGGTTGTGAAAGCACCTTGAGACATCTGGCGCTCAGTGCAGTTTAAAGCAAACTTTTATCTTGAAATATTGTCCAGTAACTTACAATCTGTTCTCAAGTGATGGATTAACACTATTCAAAATGCTTCTGTTGTAATCAAATCCAGGTTGTCACTAATACTTAATTCTGCCCAATTGAGTTGGTTCATGACTCTGAATTCAGTTTGAGTAAAAACTCAAGGGATAGAAAAGCCTTTGCGAATGCTTAGTTTTTCCTGAGTAACTAGTGAGAAATGTCTAACTCATTTCATGAATGCCTAGTACGAGGCTTGGTAAGTTTTAGAAACTTCTTAATACTTCTTTTGTTCATTACAACCCACAGATGTTTTGTTTCATAAACCTAACATTATTCACCTTCAGATCGCCGGGTGGATAAGCTGGGACGTTTCCTCATTGGAGTAAAGGAAGTTGAGGGTTGGCCTTAGAGGTTTATAAAATAATGAGGGTCATAGATAAGGTGAGTAGTAAAGGTCTTTTCCTTTAAGTGGGGGAGTTCAAAACTAGGGGGCATATTTTTAAGATGAGAGGAGCAAGGCCTTTTTAAATTCAAGGGGCAACTTTTTCCACAGGATGGTTCATGTATAGAATGAACTGCCAGAGGAAGTGGTAGATGCAGGAACATTTAGAAGACATTTGGATAGCTACATGAATCCGAAAAGTTGAGAGGAATATGGGCCAAATGCAGGCAAGTGGGACTAGTTTATATGGGGAAATTTTGTCAGCAGAGACAAGTTTCACCAAAGGATCTGGTTCTGTGCTGTTTACTTTGACTCTATAAAGAGGTTTAGACTCTGACTTAATTGCTAATGTATAGTGTTATAGCATTGTATAATATTACTTTAGGAATATAGGAAGACCGTTTGGTCATTCAGCCTATCGAGCCTGTCTTATCACTCAATACAGTTCATTGCACATTTCAATTCCATTTACTCATCCTAGCCCTGTAACCTAGTGTGCTACTGGCAAACAGAAATCTATCAATATCTACCTGGGACATAACTAAAGACTGAGCTTTTACAACTTTCTGTGACAGAGAATACCCAAGGTTCACAATCGTCTGAGTAAAATAATTTCTCACCACCTAAGCTTGTTTAGTTCTTTTTAAACTTATCAGCAGTTTTAGTAGAAAAGGTTAAGCAATGCTCTGCTAAACTTGTGTTTTGTCACCCAAATATAGCTTTCTTTGTTTTTATTTACCTATCGGGTATGAGAGTTGCCAGCATTTTATAGCCTGTCCCTAGTTGCCCTTGAAGTGGTGGTGAGCTACCTTCAACTGTTGCAGTCAATGTGCTGTAGGCATACCCATAAAGTCATTGGGGAGGAAATTTGAGGATTTTAACCCAACAGTACTGAAGGAATTCGAGATTTCCTGGAGCTGAAATGTCTGATCTCCAACAGCCACAGCTGTGTTCCTTTGTGCCAGTTAGATTCCAACCAGCAGAGAGTTAGTTCCATACTTCGAGTGTGATCTGGATATCAAAGGCTGTCACTGTAACCTCACCTCTGGAATTTAGATCTTTTGTTCATGTTTTGAACCAAGGCTGTCATGAGATTAGGAGCTGAGTGGCCCAGCACAATCCAACAGGGCATGAGTGAGCAGATGCTCTTGTTCATTGGAATGTTTCATGAAAATGGAATGGAGATTCTTATAGAGCTTTTTTTGTTGCTTGAATATAAACAAAAGAAAAGCAAATGCTTTACAGCGAGGGAGGTACTTTTTCAAGAGGGGTGGGTATCAGTTAATTCAGTTGGCTGGATGGCTAGTTTGTGATGCAAATTGATGCCAACAGTAGAATGTTCATGTCGTGCACCGGCTGAAGTTACCATGAAGGTCCTGCCTTTTCAACCTTGCTCCTTGCCTGAGTTGTGGTGACCCTTGGCTTAAACTTAACATCTCAGGACAGCAAGTCTGTGGGAATATAGTGACTTTACTTTTTAAAGGTGGTGACACTTGTAAGAAATGCTGTATTCCCCGCCAGTTTTGACGTAGCAGATTCTAGGAAATAACAATGTGACGATGACCAGCTAATCTGTTTTGTGTTGATTTGAGGGCTAAATATTGGCTGGAACGCTGGGAATAACTTTCCTGGTCTTCACAACAGCGCCACAGGACTTTTTTTCACCTCCATCTGAGAAAGCGGAGAGAGTCTCTGTTTAATATCTTTTCTGGAAGACATCACCTCATAGTAGCCTCTTCAGAATGGCAGTGGAGAAATGGCCTAGATTGTTGTGCTGAAGCCCAGGTGGCATATGTTATGATCTTTGTAGAGTCAGCAATTTATTTAAAGAGAGGAAATAAAAAAATTCAGTTTCTTATTAAAAGAATAAGATCCCACGGTGTAAAATTGCTGAATTTTTTTTCTCTACATTACATTAGTCAACAAAATAAACACCAAATCCTCCACAGATGCTGATATTGGTAAGTTTGACTAATGCACATTTCCTGTGTTTAATTTTCATCATTCAGGTTTTCTGAGTAACTGTGCTCCAGATGTGTGTATTTGCAAATGTGATATAACCCCGGGGATGGTGGTTGTCCCCTAGTTTTACCTTTCTTCATCATCTTTTTTTGCTTTGTTGCCTTTGCTTATTTTTTTTTTAAACTTCTAATTTTCAGGAATGAAGACCTTCATCAAATGCTGGAGAGCAACAAGGATTCACTAAAATTGGAGGCGATGAAGAGGATTGTTGGGGTGAATAATATTTTCATATGGAATAATTAATAATCAGATCAAGAATAATGGAAACAGATGTTTAGTTTCTTGATACATGAATACACTAAGCTTCTGAATTCAAGTTTTGAGTAGGCATTTGATAATTGGGCAGCACAGAAGAAAGCGAAATGACAGCAAAATTTCTAGGTCCCATATTACAGGAAGGCTGTGAATGCATTGGAGAGTGCAGAAATGTCTACAAGAATATTTCCAGGAATGAGGAACTTCAGTTATGAGGATAGATTGCAGAAGTTGGGAACCTTCTCCTTGGAGAGAAGAAGGCTAAAAAGAGATCTGATGAAGGTTTCAAAATCATGAGGGGAGGCTGGATAAAATAGATGAGGAGAAACTGTTCCCACTAGTAAAAGAAGCAAGAATGTGAACATATGGATTGAAAGTGATTTTTTTTTAAAAGGAACAGGAGTGAAATGAGGAAATGCAGTTTCAATCAGTGAGTAGTTAGGGTATGGAATATACTGCCTGGAAGTGTGGTGGAGGCAAGTTCAGTTGCATCCAAGATGGTATTGCATTATTGCTTTATAGAAATGTTCAGATGTATGGTGAAAAAGCAGGAGATTTGCACCAGGTAATGATGCTCTTAATGAGTCAGTCCAGATATGATGATGGGCTGAATGGCCTCCTGCACCATAAAACTTTTGGTTTTTCTAGGTTATTTCAACTTGTGGGAGAGTCTAGGACCAGAGGGCCTAATCTCAGTAAGGTGCTATCCAGTAAGGACAGATGAGGAATTTCTTCTGAAAGTTAGGAATCTGGAATTTATTTAATACAAAGGTTTGTGGAGGCTAGGTCACGAAATGTATTTGAGGCTGAATAGACAAATCTTTAATCATTAAGGTAATCAAGAGTTCTGGAGAAAAGGCAGGAAAGTGCAATTTATGATTATCAGATCAGTGTGATCTCATTGAATGCTGGTTCAGATTCAATGGGCTGAATGGTCTTCTGGGTCCTGTTGAAATCTGCTCTTTATTACTCAGACATGCCATGGTACTGGATACCATTCTGAAAAATACTGTGGTGTTACCTGGAACTTTTATCTCCTCATTGTGATTACTGGCTTCAGTGAATGAGAGCGAATGTGTATGTATATAGATTTTAATTCGAATGAGGTAACTTTCATTTGAAGTAGAGCACTTTTTGTGGTTATGTTACTGAACTAGCAATCCCAGAGGCCTGAATTAATGCTCTGGGGAGATATATTCCAAGGCTACTGCAAATGGGGAATTTAAATTCAATTACATTTTAGTTCAACTGAATACATCGATCCTTGCCTTTTTTCTTATTTTGCAGTCATTGTGATGAGCTTAATATTCCAGACCTCCTGATAGGGCGTTTTGTTGTTGCAGCAGCATTGAGTAGGCATTGTGCATTGGGACCAATGGAGTTGAAGTTTCTGGGCAAATACCAGTGTCTGGAACCCTGAAGTTCCTAACTCTGAGTTAGCATCAGGGAGTCTTAGAACTGAGTTTCAAATGAATTTGGTTTAATTATTCAGTACAAGTTGAAGAATTATGGCTATTTTAACTCCCATCTGCCTAACCGTGTCTCAGTGCTATGTATGTGGTACAAGGATTTTTATCTCTAAGAATATGGCATGAATTGTTGTGAAAAAGTAGCATGGTTTCAATGGTGTCGATTGCTGTACTATGCTAGACTGCTTCAACTGAGAAGGCACCTGGCATAGATGTCGGCAGGGAGAGTTCTTCTTCTCAATATAAGGGTGTATTTTTTTTTTTTTGACCAAGATTGTAAATGCAATTTCTAGGTTTGGGCTGAATGAGCGAAAAAAATGAAAGGTGGCTTCTGAAGTGAAAAGGTTAGACAATCCTGTTAAGCCCTTCCCCCACCAATACTGAACCCCACTCAAAGGGCCAGTGAGTCTGTTTGGGTGTGCAAATTTCAAGATAAAAGTTAATGTATGAAGAAGATAAAATCTTGAGCAGAAGAAAATGTCAAAGCAATGATTTGACTATTTTTAGGAAAAAGAATGAGCATTAAAATGTGCTTAGTAGTAGAGCTGTCTAATATAAAATCAAGTGATTTTGTTTATGAACCAAGAAACAGATGCGGTGCCAAGTCTTAATCACTGGGGAAGGGATGGGCATTGGGGGTGAGCTAAGAAGTTGGGTTTAATCAACATAGACCTCTGTCTGCTTAGAGCTGACCTCGGCTGGCTTTCCTCCCCTCCAAGCCCTGATATGTGAATGGGGTTTTGGTGAGGGAGAAGGGTTAATATGCATATGTGTCCAGCATCCCCCCTCTCTCTCACTTAATCTAGAGCCAAAGATAGCAAAAGCAGGAGTGAAACGGGCTACAGTTAGAGGAGCAATTCCTTGCAGGTCTGTCACTTCCACTTCACTCTATTTTGGAAGGAGAGTCCTCTGATGGCAGAGAGGCTATTTTTTTTAAATCACTCATGGGATGTGGTTTTGCTGACTGGGCCAGCACTTATTGCTTCTCTCTAATTGCCCTTGAGGAGGTGGTGGTGAACTGTTTCCTTGAACCACTGCAGCCCATGTATTGTCAGTGGACCCACAATGCTGTTTGGGAGGGAATTCCAGGATTCTGACTCAATGCTACTGAAAGACCTACAATACTGTGTGTGTGTGTGGACATCACTGGCTGCGTCAGCATTTATTGCCCACCATTAATTTCCTGGAGGGCAGCTAGGAGTCCAGTCAGTGAATCTAAAGTCACGTACAGATCAGACCAGCTAACGATGGCAGATTTCCTTCCCAGAAGGACATTTGTGAAACATGAGGTTTTTATGACAAACAGCAATGGTTATTTGGTTGCCACTATGCTAGTGTCCTGTCCTAGATTTTATTGAATTCGAATATCCTCCTATGTCATAGCCAGATTCGAACCCCTGTCCCCAGAATATTAGGCTGGGGTTCTGGATTACTAATCCCATGACACCATCACCTTTCCTTTTTCCAACTCATGATGGTGAGTGGCTTGGAGTGGAACTTGCATCTGGTGTATCTGCTGCCCTTGTCCTTTTGAGGTGGAAGTTGTGGTTTTGGAAGGTGTTGTCTCAGGAGTTTTGGTGAATTTCTGCAGAACACACTGCTACTGAGCAACAGTGAAAGAAATGGATGTATGTGAACATGATGCCAATCAAGAAAAGCTGCTTCCTCTTGGATGAGGTGAAGCTTCTTGGGTGTTTAAGCTATGCTCAGCCATGCAAGTGGGGAGTATTGCTTTCTTGCTTTTAGTGGCAGGTGTGTGGAGAGAACACGAGCCAGGGTGCAGTTGGGAAGGTAAGTGCAGCAGCAGCCGCCTTGCTTTCAGCGGTGGGTGTGTGGAGAGAATGCGAGCCAGGAAGCAACTAATTGTTTCGGGCATTGGCTAAACCCGAAACACTACACGTGTAGTGTGTCCCATCCATCCTCCTCCTCTTCTAACCAAAAAAAAGACTGTGTGGAGGGTCGGTAAGGTAAGGCTTTTTTTTATTCTTCTGGAAATCTAGAGTAGAGGGAATGGAAGCTACGACAGTTGCATGCTCCTCTTGCAGGATGTGGGAGGTAAGGGTCACTGCTAGTGTTCCTCTGACTTCACCTGCGAGAACTGCACCCAACTCCAGCTCCTCTCAAACCGCGTTAGGGAACTGGAGCTGGAGCTGGATGAACTCCGGATCATTTGGGAGGCTGAGGGGGTGATAGAGAGGAGTTACAAGGAGGTGGTCACACCCAAGGTACAAGAAAAAGGTAGCTGGGTGACTGTCAGGAAGGGGAAAGGGAACACAGACAGTGCAGGGACCGCCTGTGGCCATTCCCCTCAATAATAAGTATACCATTTTGGATACTGTTGGGGAGCGGAACGATCGACCGGGGAAGGCCATACAGACAGGTCTCTGGCACTGAGCCTGGCCCTGTGGCACAGAAGGGAAGGGGGGAGAAGAGGAGAGCATTTGTAGTGGGGGATTCAATCGTAAGAGGCACAAACAGGCGGTCCTGTGAATGCGAACGAGACGAGCGGATGGTATGTTGCCTCCCGGGTGCCAGGGTCCGTGACATCTGAGATCGTGAGTTCAAGATCCTTAAGGGGGAGGGTGAGCAGCCAGCAGTCATGGTATGCATCTGTACCAATGACATAGGTAGAAAAAGGACTGAGAATGTGAAAAATGAGTGCAGGGAGTTAGGTTGGATGCTGAAGTCCAGGACAAACAGGATAGTTATCTCTGGATTACTACCAGTGCCACGTGATGAGGTAAGAAATAGGGAGAGAGTGCAGCTACAGGGCTGGTGTAGGAGGGAGGGCTTCCATTATGTGGATAATTGGAGCACATTCTGGGGAAGGTGGGACCTGTACAGTAAGGACGGGTTGCACCTGAACCGGAAGGGCACAAATATCCTGGGAGGGAGGTTTGCTCGAGCTATACGGGATGGTTTAAACTAGATTGGCAGGGGGTGGGGAACCGGATTTGTAATTCAGAGGATGAGGTATTCAGCCTTCCAACAGACACAACAGGGAGTGAGGTGGTTAATAAAGAAATGCGGTCGATGGAGCGTAATTGTGGACACGGATGGTTTGAAGTGTGTATACTTCAGTGCTAGAAGTATCAGAAATAAGGCGGATGAACTTAGAGCGTGGGTCAGTACTTTGAACTACGATGTTATGGCCATTACAGAAACTTGAGTAACTCGGGGACAGGAATCGTTGTTGGAAGTTCCGGGATTTAGATGCCGTAAAAGAAATAGGGAGGGTGGTAATAGAGGCGGGAGAGTGGCATTGCTGGTCAGGGCTAGTATAGCAGTTTCTGAAAGACATTTTGAGAATATGTCTGCAGGGTCAGTTTGGGTTGAGGTCAGGAACAAGAAAGGAGCAGTCGCTTTGTGGTTTTTTTTTTTTTCAGACCCCTTAACAGTTGCAGAGAAGTGGAGGAGAGGATTGGGAGGCAGATACTGGAAAGGTGCAGAAGTCGCAGGGTTGTAGTCATGGGTGACTTCAACTTTCCA